GTGGTTGCTGTTCTTATGATCTTAGAAAAATTGTATTGTGACACAGGAAAGCCTCTAGTCACGTCCAAGGCTGCTCCCGGGATGAAGGGGAAAGGGCTCAGGGAGGGAAGTCTGGCCAGCAGCCCTGGGATGCCAGGACACCATTGCAGCCATCTTTGCCTAACAGATGGCAGAGACTCCCAGCCTGAAGAAACATGCGCAGGAGACGCTCTGGAGCCTCACTCAGAGGATCGTGTTCTGGTGAGATGGAATTTCTACTCAGAGAAAGACTGAGCAGTGACTCTGGGCACCCTGGCCATTCTGAGGGCTATGTGGTAGAGAGAAGCGTAGGAAAATCCAGCATCTCTGTGAGAGTCGGGATAGCTAGAGGGGATACAGGCTTCAGCCCAGGACAGGAAGAAACAGAGTGTGTTCCTTCCTCGGAATTCAAGGAAGTCAACGTGGAAGACACAAATAAACAGCCACGCTGGCTTTGCAAAGACTTGGTAAGCCCAGGGAGTCCTGCCAGGCACCTCACAGAGCCGTATTCCTGACAAATGGAATCTGAATTAGCCAGAGTTGTCCCGAACCTTTGAACTCAAAGCAAGAACTTGACTGGTGCTATAGAAAAATCCAAGAGAAAACACAGGGAATAAGATAGGACTGCTCTGCTGGCCCCTCCATCAAGCTCCAAATCCCCCTTGATATTATGAGGGTTTGCTTTTAGGTTTTTGAGGATTTTTAGCGGAAGGGAGGGATGTTGTCATTGCTGTTTGGTTTGGTTTGGTTTTGGTTTGCAGGGACTGTGGGGGTGGGGGGGCATTGAGACAGGGTTTTTCTGTGTAGCCTTGACTGTCCTGATACTCACTCTGTAGATCAAGCTGGACTTGAACTCAGAGATCCACCCACCTCCGCCTCTCAAGTGCTGGAACTAAAGGCGTGTGCCACCACTGCGGGCCATGATCATATTATGTTAACCCTATGCCTATCCTACTATAGTTAAGCAAAAAAAAAAAAAAAAAATCAAATTAAGTTTTGAGAAATGAAATGGGCTTGTGTACTTGTTTTATAAATAACTTCAGGAAAAACATTTGGGAATGGTGCCCAACTTTGTTTCTAGGACAAAAGGAGCCTGGTTACAGAAGGGGAGGGAGGGAGAAAACACTACCTTGAAAGAGAATCAAATGTGAGGAAAGAGAGGATGAACTAGAGCCAAGAAGTGGCCCTCAGATCTAACCAGCTGGAAGCCGCCTACGCCCACACTCAGTTCTCGGTTCAACAGAGTCAAAGCCAGGGGAATTGAGGTCTCCCCTCAAGGTGACTTTATAAAGGTGACTCTGTGAGCATGAACCCATCCCTGGCCCCACCTTCGGCCTCTGCACATGCTACTTACTAGTTACTATAAATCAGTGGTTGGGGTTGGCTGGCTTGGGGGTTTCTTTCGTCTCTTTTGTGGTTTTCTTTGGTTCGAGATCGGCGGTGTAATTTTGCGGCGCAACCCAAGGCAATCACTTCAGCACTGAGCTCTGTCCCCAACTCTTGGTGACAGGTGTCACTGTGAAGTTCAGGCTGGCCTTGCTTACAGCAGCCACCCCCCCCACCCCCGTTCAGATTGCAGTCTACCCCAACTCAAGCTGTGTACCATCTCAGGCTCTCCTGTGAGGTTTGCAGAGCGCAAACCTCTGCCAAGGAAATCCGCTTGGCGTTGACCTTTGTCTCCCTTGGCCGCACACCCCAAAAGGGTGAGGGCTCTTGGCTTGCTCACTGATACAAGATAAGCCATAGTACATGGAGATACTCGTAAATATTAAATATGTATTTTTGTTTAATTGTGAAATGAAAGACAAAGTTCAAGATAGATAATAACTTGAACGTGAAGACCATCAGGACTTGGGAAATTGAAATAGGCTGGACTTACCTTGTGTGGTTTGATGTTATTAAAATTTGTTCGATATTATTTAAACCAAAATGATTATAGCAATTTTTTAAGTGATTAATGAAACTCTCAAATGGAAAAGAACCAATTGTGCACATGAGACCCAAGGACGTAACGACTTAACATTACCCACAGCAGCAACGGAAGAGCACAGAGTAAAAATAAGCTTCTGGAGTTGGAATGATTATCTCCAAAACCCGTTCCCCAAATTTTACTGAAAGTAGAAAGCTGTTCCCCAATTTTCTACAGAAAGAATAAGAGCACCCAAATATGAGAACTTGAGATAAAAGAAAATGAAAGACTCAACTCAAGAACAACCAGCATGTTTCAGAAAAGAATGGAAATGTGAAGGAGAAATTGGAGAGAATTTTTTTTTTAATCTGGGACAGAAGAACAAGAGTTTCTGGACCATAAGGAGACCTGCTCTGGGGTTCAGCATGATGTAATTCAGGAGAGGTCTGTAGGAGCACAGAGCACCCCAGAACCTCTCAACTGTTCCCACACCACATGGCAAAGCCTAGAAGACAAATATCAACAATACCCAAAGATGCTAGAAAGTGACGGAGCAATTGTCTCACAGTTCTGAAAGCATAATATTTTTAATATGAAAATATGTACCTACCCAGGCCATCGGGGATGTGGGGCTGGGTAGGCTGTATCCGAACAAGATAAACCTCAAAATTCTACAGACCTGAGATCTCTCAGTAAGCATCTAGACAGGCTGTCTTAGCATGAATCTGAAAGTGCCCCCACAGGCCGATGTGTTACAGAGTTGGTGGTGTAATCTTCAGGGATTGGGGTACCGGTAGGAGGGTGTAGGTCATTGGTGGGACACCCTTGAAAGGGATGATGGGGTCTAGACTCTTTCTTTGCTGCATCTGCCCATATGGTGAAGACGGTTTGCCCCACCACATGATCCCACCATGATGTATGCGCCACCCATGTCCAAAGCAATAGAGCCGACGGAACAGGATATCTAAAGCTGGGAACCAAAGTAAATCTTCCTCCTCTGTCAGCTGCTGATATCATGTATTGATCACTGTACAGAAAGCTAGCAAACGCTCCATGAAAACAAGAGACAAAAGCTGAGAGAGAGAGAGAGAGACAGAGACAGAGAGAGAGGGAGACAGAGAGAGAGAGAGAGAGACAGAGAGACAGAGACAGAGAGAGAGAGAGAGAGAGAGAGACAGAGAGACAGAGAGAGAGAGACAGAGAGAGAGAGACAGAGAGAGAGAGAAATAGGTAGCAGGTGATCCAAATCCAGAGAGTATAAGAAAATTCTAGGAGGGTGACGGGAAGACCCAGCATAACAGCCATGCAGTCGCTCTGAAGAGCATCCTCTACACCGTAGCAAAGCCAGGGGGGATTTGGGCACAGTGACTCAAAGCAGGGAAAGGATGTTAGCAGATTACCAGTGTGTCTGAAAGTGCTCAGAGGAGAGACTCTCGATTCCATAGAAGAATCAAGAATGAAACTAAGGCAACAAAGAAGCAATTATTAGCCCTAAGAAAAACAAAATCTGCACAAGAAGAAACTATAACCATAGAACACCCGTGTAGCTCCATTCCCAACATTGTTTCCATAGTCACAAAGGTACAAACCAGCTCCAGGTTTAAGGCAACAAGGTGACTACAGCCCAACTACAGGGCTAAGAAGAGAGAACGATGTGACATTGTTTCATAAAAGGACCTCAACTAGCAAGGCCTGAAAGTGTGGACCAACAGACAGCAGTGAAATCACAATGTTGGCAGGCATAAGGGACGGGGACTTGTAATAAGACTCGTCATTCCTCTCTCTTTCCAGGCTGTGCACAGGCTGATGAAATAAACATTTACTTTTAGGTGTAAAACACACTGGCACCAAACCAACACTTTGCTACTTGACATACCAAAAGTATTTAAAGACAGCTAGGATGGGAATGACTTCTCCTTGTATGGTGTGATGTTACTTAAAATTGTCTTGTGGGCATTCCTGGTACACTTTGAAGCCGAGGGAGACAACAATCTGTCAACTTCTGAGAGTAAGAGGGTAGCCAAGAGGCCATGCTGTCCATCAGAGGTCTTGCCTTACCAAACTGAATTCAAGGTATAATTTTTTTAATAGCCAAAATGAGACAAGAACTATACACGAAAAACATTAGATGAACCTTACACATGGACATAAAGAGGAAATCATGAATACTAAGGAAAGAATGCAGCAATGAGTAAGTATTGATCAAAGCAATGGTTTCCAAAGCACTAGGCTTTAGGGGTGACATATGAAGGTTACCCTACCTTCTCCAGGAAAGTGCATGGTGTTTATGGCAGAAGTCTCTGTGTGTGTCTGAAAAGGCAGGCAGCACAGGACAACAAAACCACTGAGAACGCGTGTGTTCGGGGCAGCTCGGATTTCAGAAAATGGTTCTTTGAGAACTTGGCAGAAGGAGAAAAGAAACTACAAAATAGTTCCACTTGAATCTACTGAACCCTCCTGGGGCTGGAGAAGTCTCTGAGCAAGCCACCATGCTTGAGAGACACGACCGCTCTTCCCTAGCCACAGCCTTTTGGGTAAATAGACAGACCTACTCAATCTGTACTGAAGTTGGGAAAGCGACATACGCTGGACACTCATAATAGTGGAGCCTGAGACTGGCACACGGAGACTTGCGGCTGCCAACTGAAAATGAACGTAGGGCCTTCTCTGTTACTCTTTTCCTTAGTCAGAATCTGTCTGTCTGTGGCTAGTCTGCCTGTTTGGGAATATCTGATTGTACTGTGCACCCCCAAAGCTGTGCTAAAGTCTACCTTGGATCAGGGGGCGGATCCAACAACTAGTTAGAAGCCAGAAGATGGATAGAGACACACAGGAAGGAGTAGGGAGGCACTGAAAGAGCCATGGGCTTTTTTTTTTTTTTTTTTTTTTGGTTTGAGGCGAGTGGAGAGATGACCTCTTGCTGGGTCTCTGGCCATAAAGGAAGGTCGTCAGCTGGTTGCTTCTCAACCTCTCTGATCCAGCAGGTTTTCACCCCAACATCTGACTCCCGAGTCTAATAAATAGAACAACTTCATTAAAAACAATACCTGCCTGTTTGGGAAACATTACTTACTGCGCACGAAATATTCTCTCAAAATCCGGGGACCCCGAGACTGCCGGGGGTGAAATCTTGTATTTAAATCTTGCTTGTCCAACATTTATAGCAAAATAAGCTGTAAAGGAAAGGAATGTTGCGTTAAAGTGTGGCACATCCCTGGTAAAGTGTGAGTACGGGTGGGTACCACGGCTACACTAGAAATCATCAAATTAAACAGACTTGCCAGTGAGCCCCAGGCACCCAGCTGCCTCTGCCTCCCTGGCATTGGGATTGTAAGCCTGCACCGCCATGTCCAGTGTGGGTTTTTTTGTTTTGTTTTGTTTTGTTTTGACATGAATTCCGGGGGATGAAACTCAAGTCCTTGGGTTTGCAAAGCAAGTTCTTTACCATCTGAATTACCTCCCGGCTCCCTCATCTCCTCCTTAGTTCATAATTACCTCCTGGCGTCTATCTTTCCCCTTCCCATTAGCTCCCACGGTTTCGTGACCTTAATCGTTGCCTCAAACACAACCTGGGCTCGCTTTAGCATCTCTGCGTCTACTTCTGACTCACTGATGTTCTAAAAACCCCACACCAAGTTTGTGGTTTCAGTCTCTTCAGAGTGAGCACTCAGGGAGGAGCTTTTTCTCCTGACTCTAAACGCACCTGCCCTTTGAACGAGAAGTCAGGACTGAGCCTGGCTTAGGAAGGGCTCCTTTGTGGGCTCCTTTCCTTCCCTTTGGTGTCCAGGTAGCTGTTGCTTAGGAGTTAAAATGTGAAAATGGACAGTCTGTGTGTTGGCTTGGTACTGAAGCAATCCAGAAGGCAAGGGGTGGGCACTGATTCTTTCCAACCGTTCTGGGCAGTATCATGTGGACAAGGCAGCAGCTCATGGGCCAAGCTGGGGGACTCTGTCTATTAGGTAGAAATTGGAACTCGGCCTTTCTGGCCACCGCTGCCCACCCCCACCTGCTGCTTCTAATTTGTTTCACAGCTGGGAAGGAAACACCTAGGGTCTGGAAACAATGAAGGCTGTGCATTCCTAGATTGACAGATGAGCAGAGACACAAAACATTGGGTTTCAAAAGGGCTTGTGAATGAGCAAACGCTCCCCAACCCTGACCCCTAACCCAAAGCCCAACCAAGTCAGTTTCTCTTAACACCATGAACTGCGGCCAGTAGGCACCTGTCTGCTCCACCAGCCAATGTGAAGCCCTTAATTGGTAAATGGGAGAGGTGTGTGAACACCCACACCGGGAAGGAATATTTGGGCTTGGTGCCAGCCTCTGGGCTAAAAGCCCCGTCTATACTCCCGGCTCAGGGCCTCAGGAAGATCATGGTTGTCGATGGCATATAATATCGGTGAAGAAGCCATTTCGTATATTCTGTGGAAAGACTGAATCTTCTTACACACGTGGGCACAAACACCGTTGTTTCGCCCATCTTTCCTCTTTCCTGGGGTGGGGGTGGGGATGCTTGTGCGCTAGGATAGTGAAGAGAGAACCCTCTGCCACCACCGATGCCCACTCGGTCCCAGGTGGATCCTTCCCCGGGAGGGCCACTTCTCCACCCGGCAGCTTTTCTCTGCAGGTAATGGGTTCAGGACAAGAGCAGTGGTAAGGACCTATTCCGGGCCAGTCACCATGGAGGCCCTTCCTACTCAGGATCCTGTTTGACTTTCTGTGCTGAGAACAGGGAAGGGCAGACCACCCTGCCTGGGGCCTGGACCAGACCGATATGGGTGGGTCTGTCTTAAAAGCCTGAGTTGTTTGTACCTTGGTACAACGCATCCTGATTCTGTGAACAACAAACATCTGTTGATGTGGCCAACTCAACAGCAGCTCTCTGTCTCTCTGGGCTCCGTTCCCAACAATGAAACATTTTTTCTATCACAGACATAATTTTTCCACTCTCTTTCCTTCCTGTCCCCTTCCTCCCTCTCCATGGAACTGCCTAACTGCTGGTCCCAGTTCACAGTGTCCTTGGCATCAGACAGCACACAAAAGGCTCTCTGTGGGGAGAGAGCCTCTGAGTGGGGGCATGCAGCCCTTGCCCCTGCCCGTTCTGCAATCACAGAGTCGGAACACACTGATTGCTTAGACCCACGTTCTTCTTTGGTTCATAGCAAACACCTGCTGGTTTCACAAAGGCTGGTAAACAAAACATGTGTCTGAAGGTTTCAGAGTTTCCCTCATCCCCAAAGCAGACTGGCCAGGCTAGCCATGGAGTAACTGTGAAGACTGGACTTGGTCACCGAGCATAATAACAGTCCCTTACTTCCTGCAGCGTGTGGCCTGCGCTGTCCCCACCTCTCAGACCTGGTTCCGGATACGTGCACCCCAGGAAGAATAAGCAGGCATTCCTGGTAAGAAACTCTGTTCGCTAAGCATGTAGGGTGAATAGGAGGAGTTGTGTAACTGTGATTCTTGGAGAGACAGAGCCTCCATTTAACCAGGCAGAGGGGTGTGGAGTCATCCCAGGAGGTAGGAAGATGTTGCAACATTTAGAATTCATGACTGGATCTAAGCTGCACGTTTCTGCAGAACTGCCATGGGCAGTTTCTCTAAGAAAACACACTAAATGTCTACGGCCATTTTAGAAACAGGAACAGTCTCCTGCTGAACATCCATAATGGATGTTTGTCATCGCCGCTCTCACGGGCTCACGTCCCCGCCTGCAACTCCTACTGCTCCTCTGCGCTGGGACGTGGACTGTCACCACAGGTGATGCAGAGTCTCTGGGCTCTGAGGCCACCACAGCCCTGTGAGAATTAATCTCTGGAGCATGCATGGCAGGATGCATGCAGACCACCATCAGCAATCTAGGCTCTGCTGGGCACCCAGGACTACAACCCAAACACAGGCATGAAACCCAAACACTAGAGCAATCTCTCTCTCTCTCTCTCTCTCTCTCTCACACACACACACACACACACACATATGCGCGCACACCACACACAAGATTCCCACATTCTTACTTTGCTGACAGGCAGAGAGAAGGGAGACGGCAGCCAGCAGGACTGAATCACCCGCCATCTCTGGTCTGTTTCAGTTTTTGTCCGAACCCAGCTGAAGTGCACAGGCGCTTTAGGACCCTGGAGGGCTGATCTCGTTCCCTTACAGAGTCAACAGAATTGAATCACCAGAGTTGAGAAAGAAAAAAAAAAAAAAAAAGAAAGGCGGGATTCAGGACTGGGTAACAACCTTTGCCCTGGAACAGAAAACCACAAAGGTTGGCAAGGCCAGCTGGCACAAAGCCATCTCTGTTCCTTCCTGAACACGCCCAACACACACACACACACACTCACACACACACACACACACACACACACACACACACACACCAGCTCGCCCTGCAGTGAGCCTTCCAGCCTCAGCGCCTCGGTTACTCTACTGCTCCGCTTCATCAGCTCTATGGTCCCTTTATTGCCCCCAACACCCTCCCCAAAGTCTCCCTGAGATCTCTCTCATCTCTTGTATCAGTGTGAAGGGAGCATTCCTTAATCCCACAGAGACTTTTCTATGTTCATTTAACCCTGAGCTGACTTAGTTCACCCAGCAAATTGAAGATCCAGAATTCAAGTGTGTATGTATGTGTATGACCTGAACCAGCAAAAAGAGTGGTCCCAAACAGTGAGGTATTCAGTGGGAGGACCTGCATGAGAAATAAAAAAGATAAAACCAATAGCTGGGCCTGGGAGTTCTTGCATAAACTGATGACTTATGCCAAGAAAATTTATTAAGAAGTGTAGCATCATATAAACTATTTTCAGGGGAATAACAGCCAAGGTCAACAGAGAGCTAAGTTAGAGAGTGTTGGCAGTGAGAACACAATCACAGCTACCTAAGGACTGATAACCACAGCCCAGGGGCAAGGGTCACAGAAGCCACAGCCTTGACTCTTCCAGGGCACCGGCTCTGGGTCAGTCAGGCATTGCCTAGTCCACTCCTGAGCAAGGACACAGAACTGAGTTCCCTTTGTCATTTTTCTATTAGGGCCTTGGAGAAAGTCTTGGATTAGTCTGGCTTCCCCATGTGTGCGTGTGTGTGTGTGTGTGTGTGTGTGTGTGTCTGTCTGTCTATCTGTCTGTCTGTGTCTCTGTGTGTGTCTGTCTATGTTTGTGTGAATGTGTGCGTGTGTATGTCTGTCTGTGTGGTCTCTCTCATTTGTATGTGTGTGTCTGTGTTTTTGTGTGTCTGTCTGTCTGTGTCTTTGTCTCTGTGTATGTGCACACACGTGTAACACAACCCCATGTAAAGCTGGGTTTTCTCCTCCCACTGTGAAGTACAGAGAGTGAATTCAGGTCTCCCAGCTTGCATAGCAAGCCCTTTTACCTACTGAGTCTTAGAGTTTTGTTGTAATCTTCCCTGGATTGAACATTCTCCATTGCACAACCCCCAGCTGTTCTATGGCCCATTCTCTCCCTTTTCTCCCTATCCTTCAAAAATAATAACAGCTTCCAAGGGATGACAGCTTGTCCATCACACCCTAGAGCGCTCAGGGCACAGTGGCAGAGCTCACCCAACTGCCAACGCGCTGTGTGGCAGAGGAAGAAAGAGACAGAAAATCATCTTCATCCTGGAATTACCCAGAAATAATCCAGGAGGCAGTTCTGTTGATGATAGAAAAAGGTCCTGGTAGAAAAGTGGGCGTGGCTGCTCTCCTGATTGAAACGTGGTCGTGGCCACGCTCTACTTGCCTCAAGTTTGGGCATGATCCTGAGGAAGTTCTGGCCAGCTGAAAAAGTCCATACCAACTCGGCAAGTTTTAAAAAAAAACTCAGATAAATGAAATAGGAATTATGCCCATGTTGTCACATCCTGCAGACACTTGAGGAACAGCAACAAGATGGTAGATTACACCATCATTTATATAAGCATTCTCCAAGGGGCCATGTGTTGAAGGCTGGTCCTCCAATCTGTCGTGCTATTGCGAGGTGGTGGGCTAATCTTTAAAGAGGTGAGGTGGTGGCACACGCCTTTAATAATCCCAGCACTCAGGAGGCAGAGGAAGGTAGATCTCTTGAGTTCAAGGCTAGCCCGGTTTAGAGTGAGTTCCAGTGTAGCCAAGGCTACACAGAGAAACCCTGTGTCAAAAAAAGAAAGAAAAAGAAAGAAAGAAAGAAAGAGAAAAGGAAAAAGTTGGGGATTATTGGGAAGAAAGAGGTCACTGTGAGAGTGTTCTAAAGGAAATATTGAAACCTTGCTCATCTCCCTTACTTCCTAGCCATCAGAGGCCAACAGGCTTTCTGTGTAGCATCCTCCTGCCACAAGGCCCTGTGCTACCACAGGCCCAAAACAACAGTCATGGCTAAAACTTCTCTCTCCCTTTGAACTGATTTTTCTCTGGTATTTCACTCTAGGAACACAAAGCTAAACAATACAGAATATCTTTCTTGCCTTTCAGAAACAGAGGCATTTTGCTATGTCATCCTAAGTGGGGAAAACTGAACTAAAGAGAACCAAGACATTTTACCTGTTTTGAGGAACCGTCTGCTCTGGACATGGAGCTGAGAGCTTCTAGTCACCTTAGAGCAAGCTTTAGCAGAAACTACCTGTCACCCAACACCAGAGTGTCATGTCAAAGCCCAAAGATAAAAGAGCAACATGTATAAAAAGATAGGCCATTCCATTGCAGTAGGAAAAATGCCAGATGTGAGTAGTGACCTTAACTCATGCCCCTGGGTAGGAGCTGCTGGCTGTGTCTCCCTGGACCTGTTCCCTTTCAAAGCAAGTGGTGATTACAACCTTACAGGGCCCCTCAAATGTGCAGATGAAATAACCCGAAGGAAGCAAACATGATGTCGTCCGCAGTCATCACCACCGACACGGGATGCCACAACCTCATGGCTGCCAGCCTCCAACAGGGACAGGGAGACCAGTCCTGTACCTTGACAGGGCTGGTATGCCAAAACAGAGGGTCCCACAAGGCAGGCATAACCGTCAAGGCTACACGGGTTTCCCCAGAAGCCTGGACATAGCATTTGAAAGGCTTCAAGGTGGCTTTGACAGTAGTACAAGGCCTCCACCTGAGGCATCTTAGGTTTATTGAAGGATTAGGAGAGGATGAGCCGAAAGAACCCAGAGGCCATGAAGAGCAGAAATCTTCCCTTCGACCACCCCTGAGCTTCCAGGGCCTGCTTTATTGCTTTAGTTCCAGAGACCAGGAGTAGACAGGGCCCTGGTAGGCAGGCAGACAGGGAGAAGGACCACGGCTCCGTAATGAAGGGGACAAACATCCAAGATGGCCGACTTCTTCCTCATCGTCCTGACTCGAGACAAAAGCCTGCTGGTGCACTGCTTCATCAAGTTCAAGGCCTGGTCAGGACATTGTCACAACAGTTATGGGCCAGTCAACCCCCCTGTCTTCAAATTCAGCAACACTGAAGTAGGGGAGGGGAGGAAGGCTCTTCAGAGGCCTTAAAATTTACCCCCAGGTCTCAGCAAGAGACTGGATTCTTTTTCAGCTTCCTGGGTCCTCACAGGTGTTCTCTCTCTCTCTCTCTCTCTCTCTCTCTTTCTCTTTCTCTTTCTCTCTCTTTCTCTCTGTGTGTGTGTGTTGCATATGTGTGTTTCCCCAGCCCACAATAAATGCCTTCCTTAACTGCTAATTCTGTCTATGGTGAGTGAGATTTCCCTGCTGCTACTACCAAATTTTACCCGGAACTCACTCTGTAGACCAGGCTGGCCTTGAAGAGATCCACCTGTCTCTACTTCCTCAGTGCTGGGGATTCAAGGAGTGCGCCGCCACGTCCTGCAATGCTTTTTAATTCTTTAATTATCAGAGAAAATAAACCCATCCGAGACTCCTACTGTATTATTGCTAGACTGTGCCGAGTTCACTACCACCCAGAGATGGAAGGTCTAGTGGAGTTGCAGAGGATGAACAAGTTGATAGAAGCTAAAAGGACATGACAGTTGCCCAAGAAGGAAGAAGGAAGTCTATGGAAGCTTCCGCCGTGACAGGAAGGAAGAGATGAGAAGAGGAACCTCGGGGATGTAACTCAGGAAAAATGCTAGAGCAAAGTCCAGGTTTTCTTTGGAGGAACATCTGGGTATCTGGTGGAGACATGAGGAGCAGACAGGCATGGGAAAGAGACCTGAGTCCGCACAGGCAAGTGTGGCTGTAGACAAAGTCTTAGCTCAACCCACCCGTATCCTCCCACCTTCTGGCTTGGATATACATCTAGAGTGGAGGGTGTCGCCTTCAATTTTGGGGGGGGGTGGGGGAGGACGGAGTTAAATAAACATCTATGGAACTCAGAAATCTCTTCAATTTTTCAGCACAAAAATGGCCAGAGAACTTCCCGAAGCTTCTGTGTTTCGTTCCTCTGAGCCTAAACCGGTACTTCTTATTCCTTGTGTCATTCAGATTTACGTGTAATTTTGTCTCCTGTGAACATGTTGTCGAATCCCTTTGCTAGGCATCCTATGTAGCCGTGAAGACATCTGTGAATGGCAGTTAACAATGGCGCTAAGAAAGAAAACGGGGGGGAGGGGGGACTGTGGTTTCCTCCATATCTCTGGCGGATGGGGGGGGGGGATGAATGCATTAAGGCAAAAGGGAAAAGTCCTGTGCTATCCCCAGCCCTCAGGAAAGGTTGGCCAACAAAGAAGGAACAGGGAAATCAGCCAGCTCTCCCTCACTTTGAAACGCAGTGCGAAGCCGGAATCTGGGCCAAGGGGCCTGTCTACAGTTAATTGCAGCCCAAGCCCGTTGCCACATGACTCAGGAAAATACCCATCCAACCAGATCCGGGCCGAGTGGAGGCCAACCAGAAGGACCGCAACCCTGAAAAACAAACATACCCACCCCGCCAGGAGGGGAGGGACCTCGCCTAACACCGGAGGCCTGGCGGGGACTGTCCAGCAGGGTAGCAATGGATATCGAAGCTCAGACACCTGCTTTTATTTAATTTTATTTTATTATTCCTTTTTGTTCATTCTTCTTGATTCCCTTAGGCTGTGCCTGGTTCTAGCCTTTATTTCTGAGGCTTTGACAAAACATTCTCGGAATTTCGGTCTCTGACATTTCTCACCCCGAAATAGCTGGGGCTGGAATTCCCAACAACGCTGGGTCGTGCACCCTCACCTCCCCGAGCCTGCTTCTCATTTTCTTCTCAGCAGACTCGGTACACCCCTGGCG